AAAGCAGAATGCTTAAAAAGTGATTTCAAAAAGGACACAGAAAATTTCACACATCCTCCCGGTCAACACTTCTCTAGAAACAATTCCCAGAACCAATGTAACACTATGAGAACCTACACCGGATAAGTAGCCTAAGCGTTGGACCCATCAACTTGATCAGCATTAGCAGACTTGAAACCCTGTGTGTGATCTGCCACTGTGGAAGGACAAAGACATACTGTGTCCATATGGCTTACACAGGGATTTGGTAATTGAGTCAAATGACTTAAATGGGGTAACAAAAAAGTCTTAATCATAGGGAACTAACGGATATACGTCACCAAAGGAAAGAATAAAGGCACTTTGCCATTTAAATATATCCTCAAGAGGTTGTAAAATAGGGTGACTATTCAAACCTGAACAGAATTTTTACAGTGTCATTATACTTTCTAACCTGCTATAAAATCATTGCTGCTATTGAGAGCTGTACATAAAGACCAAGATCATCACACAGGATTACCTAGAGGACAGAGGGTGCTACAGACATCTCAACTCTGAGAAACATTAATTTCACAGAAGCTGGGCTTTAAAGAAAAAAATTACAGCCCAGATCATTACAAAAATTTAGTCTCATTTGTGTTTGAAGGTGAACCAGTTACCATGATGTTTTGGCAAGCCCAAGGAGAGGGGAGCTGGCAGTAGGGTTTTGGACTAGGCGTATTATCTTCAACCGTGACCTGTTCCAGATGCTTCAGAGACAAGTGAAGAAAATTCTTAAGTAGGCAATTAAAAATAACACAGCCACAGGGAAGATTTCTTCCTACCTCCCCTGAGTTAGAAGTTATTTAAACTACAGACTTAGGAAGAACAGAAACTACCTTTTACAGTTGCTGGTGTGTTTGGGTTTTCTTAATTTTTAATGTAAAACTAGAGATTCCTACCATCCTTCTTAAAATTGTGCTATGCTTCCAGCCTCCATCTCCTCTGGTAACAAGTTCCACATGACAACTGTACCTAGTCTATTCTCCTTTATGAGTTTTAAGTTTCCTCCTTCACTAACAGCTCTCCTGTTCTTGTCTTACGATTTTCCTTTTTTACACCATTTGATTGTTAGTCCCTAAAAATTCACCATTTTTCCTTTCCTAGCTCAGTCAAATCTTGAGTCACCCTTCCAATTACACGGAAGTCCCTTCTCCTCATGCCTGTTACATTATTTGACACAGTGAGATCAGAATATATGTATTCCCTGCCACCACTTTCAAAATGAGCAAATATATAATTAGTTTCTCTGCCTTTCTAAGTAGTATTTCAGATCTGCAAAGACAGAGAGAATAGTAAGAGCCTGAGGAGGAAGTGGACAGAACCCAATTGGACTGAAAAAGTAAAAACACCAATCAACCTACTAAAGGGCTGCAAGGCACAAGATATTTATCCTATTTCAGCAAAAAATTAATTTATGGGGAAAAAAATGTGAGACAGTCTTTCTCCAAACAGTTATATACTCTCCGTCCTCATTAATGGGATAACGCACAAGAAGTGCAGATACAGGTATAAGTTTACGTATAAAGCAGCGGGCTATTACTATTATTTGTGTAAAAGGAATTTGCCAGCAGACAAATGCCCATAGTTAGACCTCAATAAGGAGCAGCTTCTGGACAGGAGCATTGCAGCGGGTCTTGAAGGTACCTTCTGACTCCTTCACCACCTCCCTAAGCTTCCATGTGATAAGGCACATTTTTCAAGACTGGAAATGCAGCCCATTCTTAGAAATTTGCAACTAAAATCAAGTAGTTCTTTGCCATTTCCAAGATAGAAATAAGTAGTAAATTTCCGTAACAGAAATTATTATAAAAAAGTCAAACTAGCTGACCACTTAGTATGCTCTTACATTTCATGAACATAACTAGTTATTCCAACTGTAAATGGAAATAATACTTGCAACTCTAGATAGCATTTATTTCAATGTTTATCCACTGAGAAAAAACAGATACACAGCAAGCAGCTCTGCAGCGTCAGTCCTTCAAAATGTTGGGTTTAATCCAAACACTGATTTTCATGTGGTTTTGGTCATGATTTCTAACAATGCCTTTTATTTGTACAACATTTATTTTCTATTCAGTCCTATAAGAAATCTCTCATGAAACACTTAAGACTAATTAGAACTCATCAAAACGAAAGAATATGTAACTTTTCTTTCCAGAATGTTCTCATCTCATTCTCACATTCATTGTGTTTTGCATGTCTTTGCAATTTTGTTGTAGTGAACAAGTATGACTTGTTAACATTGATGTTTCATAAAAAGAATGCTTTTCAGTTAGGTTTTCATTTTATTTAAAGGAAAACAGAGTTATCTGGAATTAATAAAACTCTGTATTCAGAAAAGTGTTTAACATTATTTGGTAGATGGATGGGAAAAAATGCATACTTTTCCAAATGACCCCATTAACAAAGTAAAACTTTATTTTTCTCTGGATTTGTCAAATAGGTAAATAAGGACATTTTAAAGAATTACTATACATACCTCTCAAAATAATATTTAGTTTTTAAAAAAGACTCCCTATAGATCCAACAACATGTAAAAAAAAAAGCCCAGACCAACACACCACTTTCTCCAACAGTTTCTTAAACAGTTTTAATTGTGCAAGGGTAGCTAGTATGATACACAGCCCTGATTCTACCCAGGATACAGTTCTGGGTAGAGCAGATTCAGGTAGCTCCCTGTTACTAAACCAGAAGATCATATGTAAAGACTTCATCCTGGCTACACATTTCCTACACACAAATACTGTTTGGGTCACAGATCCCTCTGTGAACCATTGGAACTCACTAACTAGCACATCCAAAAGTTTTCTATCATGTTTAGTGAATCAAATTCTTAATTAATGTATTAAAACATCAAAATAAAAAAAAATAACATTGGCCACGCTGGATAGGAGAGTTTGTAGGAACAACACAGCTGACAGAGGCACAGACAGCAAGACCCTCCCCTTGTTAGAAGCAGCTAGATTAATTTCGATTGCCTGTGCAACCACAGCTCAGGTTGGAAACCTACCTTCTGAAAGATAATGCAGTCTAGTGCTGGCTGTCCTTTGATACCTTTCTCAAAATGCTCCCTGACACATACCAGGACAGTTTCTCCTACAGTTTCATAGGAAGAGAATGACACAAAGCTGCAGCAGCCTGAGCCAAAATGGGGCATCTCCTCCACCTGTCCCAACAAAAAAAAAGCAAGCCTCACAGTAACATGGACCCACTAATTGGTATGACACTGCAGCCTGGTTACTCACACAAGGACCAAGCTAACATAAATACTCAAAACCCTATAGTTTGAGGAACTGCTGTGAAGGCATCCCCCCTCTAGTATATTACTCATGTGTTAAATATATTTAATGTGCTGCATAGCATGTGTGATACAGCAAAATATGTAAACCACTAACAGTAGCAAAAATAAGTATTGTTATAGTCAAGAGTTACTGTCCTCACTTCTGGCATTAAATGTGAGCAGAACCCTGCAGAGGGTGCAAAAAAAAAGCAGCAAAGCATTCTCACAGCTTATTTTCCAAAGGCATACAAACCAAGCAGTAACATTTATTAGAAGTTCACACAGACCTCAGGAAAACAGTTTTACAAGTTGCTACAGTGAGGTTTTCTGAAACCCCAGACAGAGATCTGCAGGAGTTATGCAAATAACTGCCAGACCTATCAGATTCTTCACATGACAGACAAGCCATTAAGCACAAATTGAGGGCTTATGTTTAGCACAGTGTCCAGCCAACACCAATCATTATTTTATTGTAGGGTTGAACTACAGTATGGGACACAAGAAAGCCAAGCTGCATAAAGCTTGCTGGCTGCTTGTTTCCTGCCTCATGACAAAACCATGCTAACTTCAGTGTCTTTGACCTCCAGATCTTTCTTCCCTTAGAAACATCCACTTATTTCTCAGCAAGTTCCTGAAACCTGGAGGGGTAATAAAAAAAAAAAAAAAGATTTTCCAGAAGATCCCAGCAGAACCCCACCCTGATTTAGCCGGCTTCACAGACCTCACAGAGCCAAGAACAGATGACATTCTCTGAAGTCATGAGTGACCTGCCATTGCTTCAGCCAGTGAACTTCCCATTTCAGTTCTCTCCTACCCGCTAAATCTGAAGCGTTAGCACCCTAAACCTGTCTCACACACACACCCCCCTCATTTATTCACATGTATTTCTAGACAGCACAAAAGATCCTTCCCACCAGGAGATGCTGGGCAGGATGTGAAACACTGGATCCCCAACGGAGAAATGACAACCCACAGGCACAAACACCGAGCGCTCTTCTCACGTTTTAGTCATAAAGAACACGTGAAAATAACACCACCGAGCTTTGTGTCCAAAGGCATTTCTGCCAAGCCATACTGTCGTGTCGTTGTTTCAGAGCGCGGCTCGTACGCCAGAGCAACCAGAAGTTATTTCTTTACGTTGAAGGCCTTTCCTCCCTCCGTCGCCCCATCCCCGCCCCCCGC